CCCCGTCACTGCTCTGCTGCCGGCTGCTGCACCCGCGACACCCGCGAGACCCGCGGCCGAGGCATCTCCTTCCACCGGTGAGTCCACCCCGGCCTGCGCGGCGCTGCCTCTGTTCCCAGGCCTGTGCAGGCCCTGCTTCCCATTCACCTAGAGGGCACCCCCCGCCCCGTGTACCTCTGCCCTGCGGAGCGTGTTGTGAGGCGCCTGCCTCTGCACAGCCCCGGGCCCTCCCCACTGCGCCCCCTCCCTGGGCTCTGGAGCATGTTGAACCCATCCTCTCTGCGCAGCTCCTCACCGCCAGCTGAGCACGCTTCTGCACGTCTGGCCCCAGCACCAGGTGGCAGGGGTGAGGGTCCCTGTGAGCTAGCCTGCCTTCTACCCCAATCCCATGAGCCAGCGGGGACTAAAGTTGGGGACTTTTACACCTTCATCTGCTGCACTTCATTGCCCTTTCTGTGAACAGAGGGAAGCCCTGGCATGTGGCGGGCTGCAGACCTCCTTCTGTCATCACTCTGCACTTCTCCCTGCATCTCTAATTTTAGGCACTCCCTGTCCATGGCCCCACCAAGTCCTGGGATGTCCTGGTCAACCTTCTCCTGGCTCTGGCCACCTACAGGCCTGGAGGAGGTATTTGTGGGAGGAGACCCGGGCAACTGTTGGATTGCCTTCCTGTCACTCCTCCACGCACATTTCTGGGTAGAGTTTCATTGAGTGGCATCTGCTGGCTTCTGGGGTGTAGTGGAAGGGCAGTAGTTGCTAGCTGGTATCCTCTACTTGGTGTCCCACCTCGGACCACTTGTTACCAACCTGTGACCTTCATTCCTGTCTTGTTTTCTGTCTTGTTGTCCAATGTAATCTGTTAACATGCATCTAGTGGCCTCCTTACAATCAAGGGAAGTGTATGGCTTTCTTGGTAGGTGTAGGCCCACTGCCCCATGTGCATATCAGGTAGACCTGTGGGGTAAATGGAGGCATGTGATTACCTACCATGAGCTGCTGAGGCATGGTAAGTCCTCCCCTCTGTAACTTAAGCAGGGGAATTTGTGGCTTCATGAGGCTTAGACTCCTATTTCGGTTATTCTGGAATGGAAGGTCTTGCATCTTCCTCTAGCTGCTGGCTCTGGCCTATGTCAGAAACTAGATATATGGCTGAATAGGTCCTGGGCCTTCTCCATTTGAGCAGTCCCTGTGCCTGTGCTCCTTGTGGGGGATCCATGTTGGTCTAGGGGGGCAGGGATGAGGTGAGGGAAGGAAGGGTTATGTTGTAGTTGTATTGTCATTTCTCAGGGGGTTTGTCATTTAGACTGACCATTCTTGTGGGGAGGAGGAATCAGTCTGGGTTTTTCTCCTTCCTCAACCAATGAAGTTTCTTGTTGTAGCAGTTAAGGCCCCCAGGTTGCCCTTTCTTGGAGTAACTCAGCAGTGCTGGCCTTATCTCCCGCAGGCTGCCCAAGAAGGATAACCCGAGGCGTGTCATGTGGCTGGAAAACTGTCGGCGCAAGGATCCCAGCGGTCAGGGTCTCTGGGATCCGACCTCCAAGTACATCTACTTCTGTTCCAAGCATTTTGAGAAGAGCTGCTTTGAGATGATGGGCATCAGGTGAGTGCAGGAAATCATGCCAACCCTGGATAACTCCAGTTCTGTGCCTCAGGGCAGAGTGGCAGTGAGAAGCTAGATCTAAGCCAGCCTGGGCAAACAAGCTTTCTTGTGAGCACTTGTAATTCTGCGAGTAGCTGCCACTTTCTTTCATCTTGGGCTGGACTCCTCCACATGCCCCCCTCCTTCCCCTTGCCCCTTTCTAGATTTGTACACCTCTTTCCTCCACAAAAACAGATTGGTTTGCATGGAACTTCCTGAGTTAGGAAGCATCTTCTGCTCCCAGTGGAAGTTCACTGAACTTCATGAATCTTTTGCCTGCTTCCCCTCCATTGAAAATGATCTGATTTACTCAGGCTGAAAACAGACATCACCTCTGTGCTGCTGTTAAATTTTTGATGGGAGCACAAAGCAAAAGCAAACCATGCTCTTTGTCATGCCACAAATGCCCAAATTTGTGGCCATGACAAAAAGCAGTATTAATTTTTGCTATTAGTTTGCGGTGGACTTCTGTTCGCTTTATGGCAGGAGAGCGTGGGCAGCCTGAAACTCCCAAGACTTTAGGGGCCTGATCCTGAGCATCTGGGGAATTCCCCTGCAGGGATATTCTTAGGGCATGCAGGATCATGCAACTTCAGCCCTGGGAATGCTTGACCATGTTGACCTACCTGGGAGTGCTTGACCCCATTGCTGCATCCTGACTTGGGGCACACCTCTGCCAATGGGGGAACCCCAGGTAAGTGTTCCTAGAGCTTTAGGGGTCCCTGTTTGCAGTGTGGTGCCCTAGAAATCCCCCAGCACGGAATGTGCTGCTGCACCCTCAGGGCATGTCTCTATAAGTAGGGGAACCCCAAGGTTCCCCCACTTGCAGAGGTGCACCGCAAGTTGGTTCTTCTGTTTCAGTTGTCCCACAAGATCAGGCCCCAGGAGTAGCAGGGGCCTGACCTGGCTGGACAACAGGTGCTCAGTGAAGTGGATGAGTTGTTCTGGGAAACTTCCTGGAACAGCTGATGCCACAACAAAAATGGCATCTATTTTTAGCTTCAGTTCTCTCTTAGTTCAGACACATCTCCTTCCTCCTCCTACAAAGATGGACGGGTCTATCTGGTTCTTCCCTCATCCCTGTGAAGATGGACTGGTCTGCTTGGTCCTTGTTCCCCCCAGTCAAGATGTATCTCCCTTCTCTCTGGACTCATTTAATGACAAATGCTGAGAGAGCAGTCATCCTTTGGTACAACAGCCCTGTTAAGCTACTGGTGAGATGCAAGAATGTTCCAGACCAGTGATTCTCAACCTTTTTTGAACTAAGACCCATTTGTAAACATTGATGGTCCAGCCCCCCAGCCAGTGAGGTTAGGGAGTGGGTTGTGGGGCATGGAGGCGCCCAAGCAGCTCCTTGCAGGCTGGAACTCTTATAGCCTGCAAGGGGAAAGCCACGGTTTCCCACATTTTTTCTCCTTTAAAGGAGAATCCATGTTTAAAGTTTGCTGATCCATTTTAAAAGTTTGTTCATGACCCTTTCATATATTCTTGTGACCCATTTTTTGGGTCGCGACCCATGGGTTGCGAAATGCTGTTGTAGACAGCAGAAGAATAACAGTTCTGCAGAGTGGGATTTAAGAACTGTATTATCTTGCATATAACTTTTAACTTTCCCCCCAAAACTAGCTGGAGAAAATTGGGGTGTGCATTATATGTGAGAAAAAGGGATTCCCCACAAGTGTGGAAATTTGGGTTGGGAGGAAGGAGGCGGAGCAGTGGCAGCACTGTTTGTGTGGCTCTGAGAGCTATAGCAGTTAACACTACCACTGCTCCCTTGTGTCATCTTGCCCTTCCCTGCCCTCTGCCACCAGACTTCTAGACCCATAGGGAGCTCCCCTCCCCAGCCGCATAGCGAATTGGGCTGGCGTGTGAGGTTGGTGGGCAGCTGGACCCGGCATGTTATGTCTGAACCAGCATACAGCTCTGGACCTGACATGCTAGGTCTGATCCTATGCTTTGGGTCTGCAGCCCTCTGCTGGGTTGGACCTATTGCACTGCCACTGGAGCCACGTGCTGGGTTCAACCCTTTGTGCTGCTTCCAGAGCTGTGGATCAAGCCTGGCACCGTGTGGAGAGCCTGGGACTCTGCACTGGCTCTGGAGTTGTGTACACACAATTCTGGGCTTGGCACATGGCTTCAGAAGTAGTGCATGGGGTTGGACCTGACATGTGGCTAGCATGTGGCTCCAGACCAGGAATGCAGTCCTGGACCTGGCACACTGGGTTCAACCTGGCATGGGGTTCGGAGTCAACATATGGGGTTGGACTTGATGTGTGACCCTGGACCTGGCAGCAGAAGTGACCAAGTGCTTAGAACACTGGACTGGGACTCCTGGGTTCTATTCCTGGTTCTGTCACAGACCTGCTGGGTGACCTCAGTCAAGCCCCTTCACCATTTCTGTGCCTTGGTCACCTCATCGGTAAAGTAGGGTAATGATGCTGACCTTTCTTTGTTAGGTACTTGGATATCTGTGGATGAATGGTAGTACAACTCTCCCAAAGGAAAAGTATTTTATTTTTATTTACAAAGTTTCAAACCTGTTACCCCTGTGATACCCCTGTATCCTGAATGGGCAGCCTTGGTGGCTGGCTAAGTGAAGCTGAATGAGCTTTGAGGGGCCTGCACCACACAAGGCCTAACACTGAAACATGTTCAGGGGTTCCTTTGGTGGGGTCTGTATGGTGATAATCTGACAGGCAGATATTGGGAAATGCTGGTGCTGCTGAGAGTGAGACCTACCAGATCAGAATGGTGAGGCCCTTTCCTGCTAACTGTGGGCCCTGGCACACTCTACGAGGCAAAGAGCCATTTACAGATACTACCAGGCTAGACATCTGGGACCATTGTGTTCCCATCAGAGGCTCCATTTATGTTCCCTTTGCTCAGCCAGTAGCTCTTCTGGGAGCACCAGCTGTTTTCCTCTCCAGCTACTTTTCATGGGTAGCTCCCCTTAGCAGCCAGGCCCCCCAGGAAAGCACCGGCTGCTGGAGGGACTACAGTAGCTGAGAAGGTACAGGAAGGTTTGCGTGCACCTCTGATTGGAGAGTAGCAGAAATCTCTCTGCCAGCAGAAAGGAGGGTTCTGCTGCTGCTGTGGAGAGGCTTTGTATGTACATATTAGCCTGTAGTCCTCAGTGGCAGCTGAGTCAGTGCTGCAGGTTGGAGCCAGCCAGGCCTGGGGGCTCAAGCCTGCCTGTGTTCTCTCCACAGTGGCTATCACCGCCTCAAGGAGGGGGCCATCCCTACCATCTTCGAGTCTTTCTCAAAAACACACAGAGCAGCGAAAGTAAAGCCAGCTGGGCAGGAGAGTGACAGCCCTAAGCTTGTCCGAGCTGGGAGGCGGTGGAGGTGAGCTCATGTCTTGATCCATTGTGTCATGGCCAGAAGCTGTCCAAGTGCCAGCAGGGCATATGGATCTGTCCCACTGTCCAGAAGTACTGGATTGACTTTCAAGAGGCAGTGGGCTGTTGTCTGTGCCAGGCTGTCTCTCAGAGGGGCCTTGTCTGTCTGTACTAGATTGGTTGGGGCCTCTGGGCTTGGTTGTGATGGGGGCAGTGGCTGGGGGTGAGGAGCTGGGATAGGTTCTGCTAAATTGTGGTATGGGTTGGAGCGGGGCAGGGGCTACATCTGCTCTTATATCTCCTGGTGTAGGAGTTGGGTTGGGATCATAGCAGATTAGTGAGAAAGTTGGGTTGCCCCTGCTGGTTGTGTGTCGAGTGTTCTTGCTATGTGGTGGAGTGTCATTCCCCTACCCACCTTGTACTCCTTTGAAACTGATGCCGCCCCCTCCTGCCACCCTCCCTTCTTTGCAGGCGTGATCCTGGCCAAGTGGAACAGAAAGCCCCCTTCTGCATGGATGTCTCCTGCTTCCCTGAGGAGGAGCCAGTGTCAGCATCCAGCCCTGCAGCAGCTCCTGCTGGGGAGCATCGAAGCCTCCCTGCTGTGCCAGGGCCCCTCCCACAGAAGGTGAACCTGGAGGACAAGCATGATGTGATCCTTGCCAGCTTGTTGGACATCCTCCTTGAGCACCCACCTGAGGCCACAGGAGGCGAGGAAGCCACAGCTAAACCTGCCCTGCCGGAGGCTGAGACTCCCCCTCCTGCCCCCGAACCAGTTCGCCCTGTCTCTCCTTCACTTTACATGCTGCGCCTCCCGCCCCCTGCTGGTGCGTACATCCAGACTGAGCACAGCTACCAGGTTGGCAGTGCCTTGCTGTGGAAGCGGCGGGCAGAAGCAGCACTGGATGCCCTGGACAAGGCCCAGCGGCAGCTGCAGGCCTGCAAGCGGCGAGAGCAGCGTCTGCGCTTACGCATTGGTGAGCTGCAGCGGGAGCAGCAGCCCCCCGCAGACATGCACCGCCAGCTGAAGGAGCACCTCCAGGTGTTCGAGTTGCAGCTGCTAAATGATCTCGAGTGACCCCTCTCTCAGATGCTGCATCACACTGGTCTCCCTCAGTACTGCCTAATGGGGAGGCCCATAGCATCATCTCAGCCACCAGCTGAGCTGGTTACAGGCTTGCAGTACCAGGCGGCCAGGGTTGTATGGACAAGTGTGACAATGGTGCTTCCTCTGCCTTTGTGCTCTTACTACAGACTTGGAGGGGCTGTAAATAAAGATCCTGTTTTATATGAAGGGCTGGTTTTGACTTTGGTGTTGCTCGCTGCCCTGTGGGGAGCTGCAGGGGTGCTGGATGACAGAGCAGTTGAATATACTCTCCTAGCCCTACAGACAGCTTAACTTTATTAATGTGATTGCATGATTGCACTTTCCCCAGGCAGTGTTCTTGAAGTGAGGCTTTTTCCCAGGAAACATCCTATGCCCTGGCAAGGCTTCTGTCACAGGAGAGGGATATTGGGGTCAGGCAGTCTAGCTCCCTTCCATATGCCAACCAGGTTCCTGCTAGCTGGTGATCTCTTGTCCTCCCTGATCTTCCTCCCCAACTGGATAAAAGCCTATGATTCTTATTTGCAATCTATGATGCACAGAAAGTTGCAGATACAGATGTGCAAGAAACCCTCTAGCTAGCAGGTGATTTTCCCCTGCACATGTCTGCAAGGGGTGGGGGTGGGGGGGAGGTACATGGGGACAGGACTCGACCTGGGGTCTCCCCTCCATATTTGCAAGCCTATGGTGAGGAATCCCTCTGCACAGGATCTCCATGGGTGTGCCTGAAAGCACAGAGTGGGAGAGATCTCCTATAGAGAAATCCCCTCTGTTTGCAGCTGTGCTACTGCCAGGAATCTGGCCAGCTATTCAGCTCTGCAGTTGCAAGTGAGTGATTCCCCCATGCATTGTACAGGGTGCATGTCTGCAAGCAGGCAACATAACCAGACATAATTTGTTACTCTTCCATGTGCAGTTGGCCATAGAAATGCCTCAACTGCTGGCCCAGTGGGTGCGGTCTCATTGTGGTTTGACTGGTTTCCACTGGAAGACAGTTTGAAACCGTCATGTTCAAGGGCTATCTAGACTAGTCTATGCTTTGTAGTGAGACCACTATTGACCACTGCTGGGCCACACTAAGCAATCTTGTGTTAATGTTTGTTTTCTTATTCCCCTATCAGTAACCAGCGCTTGGCTCTTGCTTTACACAGGTTCTCAGCATTTTGGAGTGGGGGGGCCATCTTCATTCTGTGTACACAGCACGAAGTACAGTGGGTTGTGGGTCCTGGAATGCAGTGTTGGTCCAGGAGTGGGGCTCCAAGGCCCATGGCAATACAGGTGATGTTATCCATTGTTCAGCATGGCTTTCTGTTGCAGAGGACTTGGGTCTGTGATAGTTTCTTGCAATGGAGTTGCCTCTATATTAACTTGTCAGGTTGGTTCTAGAGGTTCCCTGGTCCCATCCCTAATTCATTTGCTGAAACTGTGTTTGTCATGTCAGTCCCACTGAAACCTTGACTCTTTTTTATTTTTTAATTTTTGTTTGTATTTAGTGTCTCAGGCCAAATTAGTCAAATCAATTCCAAATTTTATCAACTGAGCAAAGCTCAATCATTCAAGCCTGTGTGGTGCTATCACTGGCAAGTATCCTTCCCCCTGGACTCTTCAGTTTAGGGCTTCAGATACTTCCAAATCCAAGGCAGGCATCCTACGTGCAGGCCTCAAACCCAGACACCTTGGAGCTCAGATGCCCCCAAGCCAAAAGGCCAAAGGAGTAAGATAGGGAGAAATCCCCCATCTCTGTAAAAACAAGGCATGTAGCCAAGATCCTCCCACTGGGAGGCTATAGTAGACTGTAGTGAGGCTTGCCCGCAGTGCATTGGACAAATCTCCACCCTTAACTACAAAGCCCCCTCAAGGTGATCTTGGCCACAATAGACTGAGGTCCTACGTGCAGACCCCTCAGGGACTACACTTAATCTGTCCAGACTCCAATAATTACAGGCTGCTGCTGCAAATTTGGAGCACTGTTGACCAAAAACAAACCTAAGTTATGTGGGACTACCCTTGAAGACCATCTGGAACCTGTAGCTAGTTTCCAATATGGCTGTCTGCCTTTTGATGGGGGTTGGGTTGCCAGGAATATATGGCTTCAGTGCCCCAGAATCTGCAGTGGCTCCCAGTAGCTCTTCAGCTGCAATTCATGGTGCTGGTTTTGACTTAATAAGCCCCTAAACAGTCTGGGCTCTGCATATCTAAGGGACTGCCTTCTCTACTGTGCTCTGTCATGATTCTTAAGGTCAGCAAGAGCAACCTCCTGCAAGTACCATTGACAGCCTGTATATGTGTTTGGGGGGGGGGCGGGGCATGTCATTTTCATTAGAATGGCTCCTGGACAGCTGCTCTAATTAAAACCGCTCACCGTCATGTGTATTAAGCCCCTGCACATTTAAAAATGGCTAAAGGACACTAAAGCTGATGAGGTTTAGACAAAGCGCTCCCGCAGCCATTTTAACATGCATGGGAACTTAATATATGTGATGGTGAGGCGATGCTATTGCATTGGAATTAGCATGTGAACGAGCATATGTATAGGCAGCCGTTAATTCACCAAGTCTGCTTGACAAAAACACATGGGAGGTCATTCTCAGTAGTTACCCTTCAGCACTGGAACTCCCTCCCTCTTGAGACCTGCCAGAGCTTTTGGAAGGACTGTAAGGCTTTCTAGTTTGGCAGATGTTTAGCAAACAAAGCTAGGCTAGGGTATTTTTAGTGGATTTTTGTTTTATGTTTTTATGTTATAAGCATTTTTGCTGTTTTAAAAGTTATTCTGTTCTCCTATTGCTAAGAAAGGTAGTTAGCCATGTTAGTCTGAAGTCAGGCAGAAGGCAGGGCAGAGTTGCATCTTACAGATGACCTAAATCACAGCATCTGATGAAGTCCTCTGCTTATGAAAGCTTATCTTGTACATCTCTGATTTAGTTAGACTACATGATGAATATCTACCCTGACTTCCTGCTATTGTAAGCCACCTTGAAGGACAGTGTATAAATCAAATAAACATATAATAAATAAATCCTATTGTAGCTGAGTGCCTGGTGCCTAAGCTTGGCAGGATTCTATTTTTATTGGTATATGTTCATAAACGTCAATTTCACCTCAGTCACAGACTGGTGAAAAAATATTTCTATCATTAATAATCAAAATTTATAGAAGCGACATAAGAAAAATGATGGCTGGTGAAGTGTGTGAGACCAGGGGGAGCAGTCCTACAGAACTGTGCTGACTAGTTCCAAAATGTCATTGTCTGAGAACCAGTTTGAAATTTTTGTCACAGATCAGAGGTGTCCACACATATGGTACCCTCCTATTCCAGGTAGAATGGTCATCTTTTAGGCACTGAAGTGCTGTGGAAAAAAAGTGGAGTGAGCACCCAGCTCAGCATGCCTTACAGTGGGTGAGGGAAGGGGAGTGCCTTGCACCCACACTTTGTGGGTCCTAGAGGGTGGGTGACCTGTGGCTGTGTGTATATTCACTTTTCTTTCCCTTTTCTCCTACACATGAGTTAATAAAGATCAGCAGGTTGCACTTAACCAAACTGAAGTGCTGTGGAAAAAAAGGAGGGAGAGGGAAAAGGGGAGGTTGCTGAGTAGAGATGCAGTACAGCTCCTCATTCCCGCCCTCACTGCTGTTGCAGCTGCATTTGGCCACTCTGGTATGCAGCCAGAACTCTACTGCCCCCCTGCCTCCCTTTTGTTGGCACTTTTAATCAATGATTTCCCTTTCACAACTTCTTCAATAAAGGCTATCTTTCTAACAGCCACCTGTGTCCTCATTCCCTATCCTACCACTGCCCTTCCTCACAGCCCTCCTTCCTGCCTCCTTCAGCCCTTGGAAACCAAAATATGTGGGTCCAAGCACTCCCTCCCCAACTTAGGCAAGCAATTCTGGCAACTGCAGGCTATTCAAGTTTATTAAACCCATGTTTAGAGGATGTAGAAAAGTGAAAATGCCCCCAACCACAGGTCACCCTCCCACTGGGACCCCCAAAGCAAGGGTGGAAGCACTCAACCCCACTCACCTCCTGCAAGGCATGTTGGGCTGGGTATTCACTCTAAACCCTAGTGTTGGAGCCATAGCACTTCCCACAACCAGTGACCTTTGGTACTCCCCAGGGAATTATGCACAGAAAATATTCAAAATTATGTGCAGAAAGAAACAAAATTTATGTACAGAAAAACTCAATTATACAAAATAAATTGCTTTTATTTTTTTACAAATTAAATTATAACAGTATTTGAACTTTCTTTAGAAATATATGCAGGTGCTTTGTATGGTTGGGGGAGTGGGTATGGGGTGTGGGAGGGATTTGTGAAGGTGTGGGTGTGTGCGTGTAGGGTTTGTAGACAGGTGTGGGGGCATGGGGTTTGAGGGAGCAATGGGTTTGGGAGTGTGGGATTTGCGGGTGGGAATGAGGGGTATGGGGTTTGTGGGTGAGGTTGTGAATGGACATGGGGGTGTGGGGGGGGGTTTGTGGGGAGGTGTGGGTATGGGAGTATGTGGGGTTTGTGCACCTTCCCATGGTGCACAGCCCCTGCTGCTCAGCAGCAACAGGCAGCAAACCTTTGGGGCACTCATGGCCATGGCAGGCAGAGTCCCCAGCGGTGCGTGCTTCTGGATGAGTCCCAAGGCCTGCACTTGCTGGTACAGAGTTGGCCAGCCCATTGGTGTGCATCTTCAGGCCATACTGGACTGGTTCAGTGCTAGCAGTTGCGGCTCATGGCACTGAGGCAGGAGCTGCACGCCATCAGGCCGGGTGCACTCTGCTTTTTGGGAATTAGCTAATCAGTATATAAGCCCATGTGGTGCCCATCTTCAAACAAGGGAGTAAGTAGATCAAGGGGTCTACTGCCAATCAGTTTGACCTCAATCCCTGGAAAGATTCTAGAAAAAAATCATCAAAGAGACCATTCTTGACAAGCTGGCTGATGGCAACGTCCTGAGGGATAGCCAGCACAGTTTGTTGCGGGTAGGTCTTGCTTGACCAATCTCATCTCCTCCTATGACCAGGTGACATATCACCTGGATAAGGGAGAAGAGATTGACATCATATATCTGGACTTTAAAAAAGCCTTTGATCTGGCGTCCCACGATCTCCTCTTGGAAAAACTGGCAAACTGTGGCCTCGGCTACATCACAGTCCGATGGCTGGGGAATTGGCTTCAAGGCCGGACTCAGAGAGTG